AAAACTAAAACAAATAAGTAAAAACATATACCCAAAGGAAATTGGTTCAAACATAAATAGCCAAAATTTACATATTTACGTATTTACATATTTTATTACATATAAAGTTGATGAGAAAGGAAATATATCCATGATTACAATATCACTGCTATTAAAAAAGGGAATTTTACCTCAAAAAATATTTAACAGTAAGGCCTTAGGGAGGTAATTAAATCATGAGGGTGGAGCCCTCATCAATAAGATTAGTGCCTTTATGAGATTAGACACAAGAGAGATAATATCTCTCAGTCATCTGCCAACAAGGAAGAGGGCCCTCACCAAACACCAAATATGCTGGCACCTTGATTTGGACTTTTCTGTTTCCAGGACTATGACAAATAAAAGTCTTCTATTAAAAACCACCCAGTTACAGCAATCCAAACTGACTTGGACACTCGCAAGACTAAATAGCATAGCAAACCTCATACTTAATTGTGATATTTTAAAAGTCTTCCCATTGAAATCAGGAATGAGAAAAATATGCCTGTGCTAATTCTATTCCACACTGTATTGTGAAATACAGTCAGTAAATTGTATAAGAAAATTAATAAAGAGCATCAGAAAATTAAAATTTTCCAAACAAGTGAAAATATTATTAGCAGTTAAATATTTGTTACTAGTAATTGTGTGTATCAGGATCTTTTAGATCATTCTCTAATCTCCTCTTGAATCCTTGATTCAAGGAGCTCTCATGCTACCTTGAAAACCCACAACCCATAATAGTAAGCATTTTGTCCAGAGAGGCCAAAGAGGGCATCATTGATACATACCTGTTCCCTTTCTGGAACATCCTCATTTGGGTTCCTGGCATCAGGAAGCAACTAGGCAGCCCCATCAAAGTTCCAGATGTGTTCAGGGCCCCTGGTCCTTAGTATCAAGTATCTTACAAAATCTATGTCCTTCCCCAGAAGCCATTATTTACCCATTAAAATATTCTATTAATAAAGCCAAGTTACCTAATCCTGTAAAACAAGGAAGAAATAGTTTATGGTTTCACTATGTCTTAATAAAAAAGTTCCCTTTAAGCAAAAAAATCAGTGAAAAACACCTTTTATAAATGCCTATGTATAGTATATAAATGTCAAATGTTAGGATTTCATTATGGTAGTTCTTTTTTTTTTTTTTTCTAGACAGAGTCTCACTTTGTTGCCCTCAGTAGAGTACTGTGGCATCATAGCTTACAGCAACCTCCAACTCCTGGGCTCAAGCGATTCTCTTGCCTCAGCCTCTCAAGTAGCTGGGACTACAGGTGTCTGCCACTACACCTGGCTATTTTTAGAGACAAGGTCTATCTCTTGCTCAGAGTGGTCTCTAACTCCTAAGCTCAAGGAATCTACATAACTCAGCCTCCCAGAGTGCTAGGATTACAAGCATGAGCCACCGCACCTGGCCTTACGGTAATTCTTAATTAAAAGAAAAACTCAGAAGAGCTTTGTATGGATTAATTATGGGCTTAAAATCTTTTGCTGCTTTAACTTGTGGTTTGAGCATGCTCCTATTCCACATGGGCATACTCTCCTCCCTTTTAAACTTACCATAAATACTCTGTTCACATCATAGACGTAAACAGTAAAGAAGATGCCCAGAATGCCTGGCCAAGGTTCCCAGTCTGTTTGTTCCAACTTCAGCAGTTTTGGGGACAGGAGTGCTCCTTGGGGATGTGACCTTAAGGATAAAGCCCTGTGTCTGAGGGCAGTGTGTACTGGGAAAAGCATTAGAATTAGAAATAGAGTCAAATCCTGGCAACCTCACTTAGTATGTAAAATATGCAAATTCTAGGTAAGTGACCCAGTTTGTCTGAGCCTCAATTTTCTCATCTCTAAGCTGGAGATAAGATGGGAAGTGCCTGTGGCTCAGTGAGTGAGGTGCCAGCCCCATATACTGAGGATGGCGGGTTTGAATCCGGCCCCGGCCAAATTGCAACAAAAAAAATAGCTGGGCATTCTGGTGGCACCTGTAGTCCCACTTACTTGGGAGGCTGAGGTAAGAGAATTGCCTAAGCCCAAGAGTTGGAGGTTGCTGTGAGTTGCAACACCACAGCACTCTACCAAGGGCGACAAAATGAGACTCTGTCTCTAAAATAAAAAATAAGAAATAAGCTGGGGATAAGACTAAGCTGAAGTCATGAGAATCTTGTGAATATTAATAAGATAACATTGTGAAGAGCAACTGCAAGTTGTCAGCACCAATTAATATTAGTTTCTCACCCTTCCTTTCATGAAACTCCTTTATTTCTCCCTCCTGACTGCCCATTCACCTCAGCAGGCATATACTTACAGAGTGCAGGTGCCGCAAATATGGGTGCCTCATGACATTATGACCTAATGCAGGTAAATCCATAGACAGCCACGATGAAGTTGGGTTTACGGGCAGAGTCCAGCCACATCCTAGAACATGAGTCAGATATCACACATTCTGCACTTCTCCCTCTTTCTTCAATCTTTTCTGGTGTCCCTCATGACATAACAATAAGACGACTCCTTCTGAACTCTAAGGGTGTCTAGTCCATGAGATTTACATTTTTAATAAAACCCCAGGTATATGTAAAGACCATATACACACTGTCATTCTACCATATCCAGTTTTCTGATCAATAATACCTCAACCATTGCTTGCTGATAACTGATATTTCCTTAGCAATGAGGTTGTATGCTGTACAAGGCAGGGCATGGGCTTTGGAGTCATACGAGAATTCAAATAATCTCTCCACTATTTGTCAGCCATAAACATTTGGGCAAGTTATTGCACCTCTTAGGGCCTCAGCTTTTCCCCTAAAAAATTGGCATCTCAGTCCATGAATCATAGGTGGCTCACTTTTTTGGAGAGAGAAGAACACAACTGTGAAAATACATGAACAATGGACGTCCAGATTAAACTCTGTGGAAAGAGAAGCAAAAATAATATTTTTCTAACTCACTCATAGCCTGGGTCAAAGATTATGAAATGAAATTAGATGAATACTACATAAAAGAGAAAAGTTGTTCTAGCAATATTCCATGTATACTATGTAGATCAAATACCAAACCCCCTTATTTTTTTTTTATTTTATTAAATCATATCTGAGTATATCAATGCAGTCATGGGGTACAGTGTGCTGGCCAAACCCCTTTAAAATGCATGAATAGTTTTATCCTCATGCCTCGAACAGATTCTAGTTTAAGTCGTCACCACAGCCTTCAATATCATCCCAGCTACTTGTTGCATACTAATTAGTCTCATCCTTATGTATAAAACTGGTCAAATGTATTGCTTTTTTACATAGGGCAGATCTGGGGTAAAAGAGGGGAGGTAAAGATGGCAGTAAAAATAACAATTACATGGATTGGATTCAAGACAAATGCAATCTCAAGGACTATGTCCAAAATATGGCAAGTTAAATAAGACTTTTACAATTGAATGAAATCATTTAACATAAAATTGTTTAATGTCCTGCCAAGAACTTAAGTATCCCTTTGTGGGACTTTTCTGAAATCATCTAGTACTTTATACCCAATGTACAATTTAATGTGCATTTTGTGCCACGGGCACTGAGGCACAAAGACAGTGGAACTCACTAAAATTTATTCTTTGAGGGATATTAAATTGACCTTGATTAGACAACTGACAAAAGAGATGATTTCAGGGCATTACATAGTCCTTAATAAAGTTTCACAGTGAATCTTTGTGTGAATTTAATAGGAAATTGACCAAAAATTTTAAAATGTTAAGTACATTTGCATGTATCGACATGCACAGAAGTATGCAAATATGGTCACAAAAAATTATTATAGAAATAGAAAGCTACAAAGTACTATAAAATAAATCTCATTTATGAAAACTAATTGGAACAATTAGTTCACACAAAACATTGTTGCTTTAAAACATAAAAGTATATCTTTTAAAGTTGTTATGGAACCTGTGAACATGCCTCAGTCTTCAAGAAAAATTAAAGTATTCTGACATTAGCAAAGCTACAAGTCACACGGAAATTCCCGAAGGTGGAAAGGATCCATGAAGCTACAGATGGACATGAGGTGTAATTTTTTTCAAAGCTGTGGTTTCATTTTCATTCAACGTAGATTATAGTTTGGTGTGATGAGACAGAGCATGATATGCAGTAGCTGGTATGTCTATATTCTATATATAAGAGGAAAGAAAATCTGATAGCTTAGGAAAGAATGCATATGTGAGAGCTTAAGCAAAGGAATTCACTGCACCCATAATTAATCTGAAAATATCAGCATGATCCACTGATGTCCCTCTTCCTAAAATAAGCTGTCTCCTGTTTCACTCTTCCTACCACCAGAATTCATTAAGGTGTATAAAAGGGCATCCCCCTACTTCCAAGGTTTAATTCATAATTCTGCAGCATCAGTGTCACCTGGCAACTTGTAAAAAAATGCAAATTATGGGGCCCTACCCCAGAACTACTGAATCAGAACTTATGGATCTCTGGTAAGTCTCGATCTCCTATAGGTCCCACAATCTTCAGAGTTGTTGTACATCACAGAGACAAATAGACAAAAGGTGCTTAGTCCACTTATGTTAGTGAAATAATATAATTAATTCATTAGATTTCATTTTGTGTTAAAGCTGAGGATAATGGGCCAAAAATATATATGGCTCCAAAAAACTCCTCAAATAAGGGATAACAGAATTGTATATTGTTGAATAATTATGCCCTCCCAAGTTGCAGACATAAGTAATAAAATTAATTTAGCATTCACAGATCAAAAGCTACGGTATTCACTAAGAAGAACATGTTTCAATTTCATCCAGGTGAATATAAACACAAATACAAATATATTGCTAATAAGAGAATGAAATTCTGGTCAATAAATATTTACCAAGTACATCTAACTAATGTTCCATCATTTGTTGTAGGACTTGAGGATATAAAATGTTTTGAGACACATTTGAATGGAAAATAAAATGAATTAGATCAACCAAAATGAGATTCTGATTTTTGAAAAAGTCACATGTCACTGTGAGAAAAATGCTGCTCTATTGCAGAGTTTCCCAAGGGCCTTTTTCATGTCCCTGTTTCTAAGGCTATAGATGAAAGGGTTCAACATGGGTGTGACCACTGTGTACATGAGAGCCACAATAATGTCCTTGTCAATGGAATTACTAAATGATGGGAAAAGGTATTGTCCAAATATTGCCCCATAGTACAGAGACACCACAGAGAGATGGGACCCACATGTGGACAATGCTTTGCAGATCCCTTTGGTTGAAGGGACCCTCAGGATGGTGGCCCCAATGTAACCATAAGATACCAGGATACACAAGAATGGCAGGGTAATGACCACCACCCCTACTGTAAACATGACCAGCTCATTGAGGAAGATGTTGGAGCAGGACAGCTTGAGCAGGGCAGCGAGGTCACAGAAGAAGTGTGGGATGGCATTAGCAGCACAGAAGGACAGCCTGGTCAGGAGAAGGGTGTGGGAAAGGGAGCTGGCACAGGACAGGATCCAGGATAGAGCCACTAGTAAGGTGCACAGCTCTTCCCTCATGATGGTGGTATAGTGGAGAGGGTGACAGATGGCAACATAGCGGTCATATGCCATTGATGTAATAAGGAAACTGTCCAGGTCAGTAAAAAGTATGAAAAAATACATCTGTGCTATGCACCCTGCATAGGGGATGGTTTGGTCCTGGGTTTGCATAGTAATTAACATCTTTGGGACAGTGACAGATGAAAAAGAGATGTCAGTGAGGGCCAAGTGGCTGAGGAAGAAGTACATGGGGGTGTGGAGGCGAGCGTCCAGCCGGATGAGCAGGATGATGAGCAGGTTCCCCAGCACCGTGGTCAGGTACATGCCCAGGAACAGGAGGAAGAACACGCCCCGCTGCTCTGGCTGGATGGGGAGCCCCAGGAGGAGGAACTCGGACACGCTGCTCTGGTTCTCAGGCCTCATGCTCTTCTCCTCTGATGGAGATGAAGAGTGGTTGAGAATATTAGGGACTCTGGAATGATCATTTTTAGGAGTCAATTAAAAAGATATATGTTTATTTCAGAAAGTGGGAAACAATCTGTTTCCTATTTTTTTTGCTTTATGTTGGTACATAAGTAAACTAGAAAAATTATTGTTGAGGCAAATGCTAAAAAAAAAAAAAGACAATTTCTTAGATCAAATAGAACCCTTGCACCTATACTGTGGATATAGGTCGTTCATCCCTAAGAAGTTTCTGTGGTGAGTAGACCAAATCATTAGTCATGGTACAGCAACCATTAGAAGATTTGACTTCAACATCCATTGTTAATTTCAGAAAAGAGACAGCCTATTCAAATAAAAGGCTGCAAAGAATTGTATTGTATTCCTTAAAGAATAGTCATTAATATACATACCTTTTTATTTGTTTCAATTAAGTAGCAGGTCCCTAAGAAATTCTGGACTGTATCAAGAATACTGTTCTCTACTGTAGCCAGAAATCTTTTTGAAACCTATATATCTTCCTTTTTATTTCAGAGTATTACAGGGGTACACACATTTTGATTATATAATTTGCATTTGTACCTTTTAAGGTACATGATGTTATGTGAGTGTGCCTTTCACTTAGAATATGTGCATTGCACTAATTAGGTGGGAGTCTCGCCTACTGCTCCTCTCCCTACTAGATTTTCAATGAGTTTTACTTCCATATGTGCACATAGAGTGTTAATCAACTAGTTCCAATTTAGTATTGAGTACATGTGGCGTTTGGTTTTCTATTCCTTTCATACGTCCCTTAGGAAAATTGTCTCCAGTTCTATCCAGGTTGTTACAAAAGAAACTAGATGATGAACTTCACCATTTATTAATCCATTCCTGCGTTGAAGGGCACTTGGGTTATGTCCACATCTTAACAATGGTAAATTGTACTGCTATAAACATTCAAGTGCAAGTGTCTTTATGATAAAATGCCTTTTTTCCCTTGAGTAAAAGTTTAGTAGTGGGATTGCTGGATCAAATAGAAGATCTACTTTTAGTTCTTTGAGGTATTGCTATACTAGTTTTCATAAGGATTGAACAAATTTGCAGTCCCACCTATTGTATAAGTGTTCCTTTCTCTCCACATGCATGACAATACTTATTATTTGGGCACTTTTTGATAAGAGCCATGCTTGCTGGAGTTAAGTGATACCTCAGTGTGGTTTTCATTTGCATTTCCCTGATGATTAGAGATGCTGAGCATTTTTTCATGTGTTTATTGAATATTAGTCTATCTTCTTGAAAAGTTTCTCTTCATGTCTTTTGCCTACTTTTTAATGGGATTGTTTAATTTTTTTCTTGCTGATTTGCTTGAGTTCTATTTAGATTCTAGTTATCAGCCTCTTATCAGATGTATAGTGGCAAATACGTTCTCCAGTTCTGTAGTTTGTGTATTCACTCTATTGGTTGAGTCCTTGGCTGTGCAGAACCTTCTTTATTGATCAGGCCCCATTTGTTTATTTTTGTTGTTACTGTTATTGCCACTGGGATATTATTCATAAATTACTCCCTAGGCTGATATTTATAGGAGTTTTCCCTAGAATTATTATAGTTTCATGCCTTAGATTTAAGTCCTTTATCCATCATGAAGTAATTTTTGTGAGTAGTGAGAGGTGCAGATTCTGGTTCAGTCTTTTATATGTGGCTATCCAGTTTCTCTGAGCCATTTTTTGAGTGGGGATTCTTTTCCTCATAGTGTGGCTTTGTCTGCTTTATCAAAGATCAAATGGGAGTATGGGGATGGTTTTACCTCTGGGTTCTCAGTTCTGATCCATAGGTCTGTATATCTGTTTTTGTGCCAGTACCATGCTGTTCAATATGACTTCCCCATCTAAAAATTCTCAAGAGATTCCCATTGATCTTTAAGATAAGTGAAAGAATCTTAAAATGAGTTACAGATCCTGCAAAACCTATGTCTTTCCTGTATATTCATCTCTTTCTCATCATTCCACTCCCTTCATACCCTTGTTGACTTGTCTGTTCCAACTGTTCTGTTTGTGGCTATAGGTTTCCTGTGACCATGTGTTATGTTGAGAAGGCAAGTACCAGTCTGGCTTCTAGGAAATAGTTCAGGCAAATTTAATTATACTTTATAATCTACTATTAACATAGAGCAGTTTAAATGACAACTCAATGTCATCTGCAATTATAATAAAAATATATATTTTCTAATTCTGTCTCAATCCAGCCCTTTTTCCTCTCTAGGCAACATAATAGCACTCATCCCATAACAAACTTGGATTTGCTATCATTGAAAATTGATTTAAAAATTGATATTCTAGTTGTTTCCCAAGTTTTCATCTCCCTCTTGGGTTCACCTCTCATGTTAAAACATAATACCTGTGTGTCAGTTAAACAGAATAATGACCCACAAAAAGAATAGCCATGTCCTAATCTCCAGAATCTATCAATATGTTATAGCACATGAAAAGGGAGAATTAAGATTGCAGATGGAATTAAGTTTGTTAAGTAGATGACTTTAACATAGGGAGATTATCCTGGATTGTCTTTGTTGGTCCAATCATGAGCCCTTAAATATGGAATGGGAGACAGAAGAGTCAGAATTAGAGAGATAGCAGCAGATGTTATGCTACTGGCTTAGAATATGAAAGAAGATAAGCTGAGGAATACAAGTGGTCTCTAGAGCTGGAAAAGGCAAGGAAAAAGGCTCTGCTCTAGAACCTTTGGAAGGAAAGCTAACATTTTGGGGAGAAGAGGTATTTGGGTTTTTTTAAACTAATATAAGGGAACATATAATTAGGTTGCATTGTTTGCATGTAGTAGGTAAAGTCTGAGTGAAGTTGAGCCCTTCACCTGAGAGGTTTGCCATATACCCCTCCATTGTACCCATTATGTGAGAGCTTACTGAGCCCCCTGCCCCCTTACTCCTTTCTTGAATTTAAATGTGTTTTTCTTTAGTGTGGGCCTATAGTTGTTCATCTACTATTTTTATATTAGTATTGAGTACAATAGATGCTTGCTTTTCCATTCTTATGATACTATAGAACACTATGGTTTTAAGCCAGTGAGGTCCAGTTCAGACTTCTGACCTCCAGAACTGTAAGATTGGTGGGGGTATTTTAAAGCCACTGAGTTTGTGGCAAATTGTTACAGCGGCAATAGGAAACAGATACATCAGTGTTGGAAAGACTCCAGGTATATCCAAATATTCTGGTTACTTGGGTACCAGGAGGCAACAAAATCTATGTGCCTTATCCAATTTCCACCTTGAATAAAAGAAAACAAAAAGCAATAACTCAACAGAGCTAATATTTACAAGTAGGGAAATGAGGTTACTATCTCATTAGAAGCATTTGTGACTAATCAATCATAAAGGAGGCTCTAATACACACACTCTCTCATAAATTTTTTTTTTTTT